GCAGTCAGCAGAAGTAGCCTGCAGTACTGCATTCTAACCATTGCACCACCACAGCTCTTGTGAGATGCCATTTGTCTATATAGCCACTATGAGCCAGACTTGATAGCACTAGGTACTGCATGCTAGGTACAAAATAGTTTTCATGTTGGAAACATAAAAAAGCTCTTTCCCCTCAAATTTAAAAACATGAAAAACAAGTTCAGATCTTTGTAATAGCTACTTTAAACAACTATAATGAATGATAATTTTAGCACTGCATGCTTATTTAGTGTTCAGAGATCAAGAAAAACCCATTATCATAATTAAGATCAGGGCAGGGCCAAATTTCCAAAGAACCTTGTTGGCATTTCAGATTAAAATCTCTCAATCTTTTTGTTCAAAAATTACAATTAGTGGCATCAGAGATTAGCTAACTGGTTTTGAATTTTACATAAAGCAAGGATAGATGAAATTTTTGACCTAATCAGCAAATATGAAATTGCTGAAGTACATTATCCTATAAAATGATCTCCATTAAAGAGGGCAGGGAATAGTAGGCTGTGCCCTTCAATAAAGGTTGCCATGATGGTTTTGGACAGCCACATACAACACCATTATACAAAGGAAAGCTGTTGAGGTTACTCCTCTCACAAAGTCTCTCATGATAGTTCCTGCAACATCAGCTTTCATTTTTTCTATGATATCAAAACGCCTCAAATAAACCAATGCATTCCCTAGAATGCCTGCAATGCCTTTATGAGGCTGAGATCTATTATTGGAAATACAGATGCTACACACCAGTGACTGCAGCATACAAGTTTCTGTCAAGAAAAGGAAGGAATATGTTACAATTAGTCGTAGCATAATAAGGTGGTAAATGAAAGGAGAAAGAATTAAAAGGCATATTATTATTTACCAGACTAACTACTTTATTAATGTGGTGGATGGAAAGATTCCAGAAGTCCAAATGTAAGCATCTACATATAAAGTTGAAGTCATTCCTCAAACAGCTTTCTTCTATTTAAGGTTCTAAATATGGGGCAAGAACAAGAAGACAAAACAAGAAGTCCTTGACTTACGACAATTGAGCCCAACATTTCTGTTCCTAAGTGAAACAGTTGTTAAATGAAGTTTACCCCATTTTACAATCTTTCTTGCCATAGTTGTTAAGTGAACCACTGCAGTTGTTACATTAGTAACATGATTAAGTGAATCTGGCTTCCCTCTTCACTTTGCTTGGCAGAAGGTCACAAAAAGTTATCACATGACCCAGGGATACTGCAACTTCATAAATATGAGTCAAGTGTCTGAATTTTGATCATGTGTCCAGTGGGGTGCTACAACAGTGTGTGAAAAACTATTTTAGGTCACTTTTTTCAGTGACTTACATGATTCAGCTGTGATTGAACACATATAACAGTAAGCCATGTTTTTCTTTAGTCAAAATTAGTTAAATTTAGATGTTAATCCGCAATTTATTTAAAAGTCACGGTGGCTAAAAGTTCGCTCACACAAACACAAAGATACATACCATGATTGATAGTCTGCTAGGAGAATTAAGAGGTCAAATTGCCCTGCCCATTTTCTGGTATGACTCATCCATTGAGATGGTCATCCACCAACCCTTCTCAAATCCAAAATCAGGACTAGAGTGTGTAGACATCATAATTCTCTTTTTTCCCCTCTACAGTTCAATATTCCACACATCCTCTTCTGCTCCTTCCTTGTTTTATTGTAATTCAGGAAGAGCAGGGTAAACTGTAATCTATGAAGATCTATGTATATTTGAGATGTAGGAGGCAATTGTTACCTGCGCAAGAGAGACTGAGGTGACAATTCGAGGTTTCATCCCGGGATTAACCCAAGAGGCTTCTCCTAGCCTCTTTGCTGCTTGGCCATATTCATTTGGCTTCTCTTACTCCCGACCTCTCCAGTCTTGATACAGGATGGAAGATGCCTCTTTTTTCCCTTCCTGTTGAGGATCTTCTCAGTTTCAGAGACTAGAGAAACCCGTGTCTTTTGCAATGGGATCTTCTCTGTCCAACTAAGAAGGAAAAGCACTAAGGAACCTCCAATGTCCATTCGGTAGGCGACTGGCTGAACTGACTAAATTTCCGCGTGGATACAGCCAGGAAAGGCGCAAGAGGCGAAAGAGTCTAAATTTTCAGCTTGGCTCTTGAGGGAAGAGGGTGAAGAGCGCGGTTGGAGCCTTTTAACCGCGAGCTAAACAAACCAGAATTGGGCCCGGAGGGTGTGTGGGGGAAAAGCACCAACAGCTTCTCTTTCCAGGCTTGGTTCAGGCAGAAGAGAAATGCCTCCGGCTCGGCTATGAATAGACTCCGGTCCGAGTGACGCTTTTCCCCCCGAGAAGAGCCGTCCGAGAGACGCTTGTGCCCAAAGAAAGCCGCGGGCTGGTCGCCCCCCTAACCTGGTTTCTTCGCTGGAAACTGCCAGGGGCCGTGACGGCGCCTCACGAGCGCGGCCTCCCCCGGGATCCCGTCACCGCCGCCATCGCTACTGTTTGTTTTCATCGGTTTAAGGCAAATGAGGCAATCGGGACGGCACTTTTCACACGGAGTCGAGATTATTTTCCCCTCCTCTTGTCCCGCAGTTTGATTTCTGCCTCCCTCGAGAGGAATTAGGCCGCAACGCTCATAAGTTCATGAATAAGAAGGCCCGGGTGCAAATATTTTTTTAAAAAAATATACATACATCCAAAAATCATACTTGTGAGGAATCTGTGTTTGGGAAACAGCAGCTTGTGCGTCGTGCGAGAGTGGAAAGCTCCGCCTGGCTTTCCCGGCGCTGAGGAGAAAACCCGGAATCGGCGTTTTTGGCTACTTTGGACTAATCCTAGGATAGGGAAAACGAGGTGAACGTACAAGTTCTTCTCCTCCCACCGTATACGTTTCTTTCTTACTTTCTGGATCGTATATCCAAGCACATCCTTCACAGCCTTAGGCAGTGCGGGGAATGCAGTCCCTTACACCGGCTTTCGGTCCCCCTAAAAAATGACTTCCAAGCAAACCCTTCCTTGACCATGACAAGAGGGGCTAAGGGCGACTGATGAAATGTTTCGTGCTTTAAAGCATTCTCTTGTGCCACTTAGCTGATTTCTGTTTGGGCCGCTCATTTCAAAGTAAGTCTTAAGTTTGTATCACAAATACATGAATATGGAATATGAGGTGCCCATAGTCAGCTATAGTTTGTTTGGAAACGGGTTAATTTCATGTTTCTCTGCCCTTCTCCACCATCCATTTCCAGTGCTTTCTGTTCACTTTAATTAAAATTGGTTCTTGCTATCTTAATCTAAGACAAAAGTTCCTCAAAGTGATCAGTATTGATCTTCAAGGGTGGATGGGATTCTCTGTTGTAATTGTAGTACTATTAGTTCAAGTGTTAATTATTTTCATATAATGTTGGGGTCTGTGTGTCAATGAACTGTCTGAAATTTCATGAAGGGGGTCAACGGGCTGAAGATTTGGGGATCCTTGGTCTAAGGACCACAGCAAGTAACCGGCAAGACATGCTAGGTCAAAATGCGGTTGCGTGGTCTGTGGCTCAGTATGTCATACAAACAAGTTTTCTACATAGTAAAACAGGTGTTGCCAGCATCATTATTGAAGGTCCCTTTGTTCTCCAAACAATTTGTAGCTTGAGAAATGTGTTTGCCTGCACAAATAACCCCTCTAAATGTGCAGATATCTAACAGTATAGGAATTCACAATAATGGATTATGCAATTTGTTTAAGTATATAAAGTTAAACTTAAAGGTTTCCCCTTGCCAGTCATGTCCGACTTGAGGGGGCAGTGCTCATCTCTGTTACTTAAGCCGAGAGAGCCAATGTTGTCTGAAGATATGTTCATGTGGCCAACATAACTATATGCCGAAGTGCACAGAATGCTGTTACCTTCCCACTAAAGTGGTACCTATTAGTCTACTCAGATTTGCATGCCTGAGAACTGCTAGGTGGGCAGGAACAGGAGCTCACACTGTCACGCAGAGCTAGGGTCTCGAACCTGTGTGTGTTTTCTAGCTAACAAGCTCAGTGTTTTTAACCAGTGAGCCATTGTGCTCCTAATTTAACTATACACACACACACACATTCAATAATAAATATTTTCAAACAATTACTGTAATGTTTTAAATAAATAATTAAAATGTTTAGTACTTTATAAACTTTGCAACTATATTAATTATATTTTAGTAGGAACTCTAGAGGCTAGGAAAAACAATGTAAGTTAGTGAGGTATGTTTCTAATGCCACGTTATGTCTAGAGGCAAGCTGCTGAGGGTTCAAACAAGGGCATGGTTAAGTATATTCAAATACTGGCTAAAGATTAATTTCCAACCATAAGGTCTGACCTCTCTTATTTTGTTTGACATATGTCATTCTACCTGGAAGGAACAAATTGGAGGTAAAGTTCAAAAATTAGGCTAAGCACCAGAAATAATACTTCTGAGGTTAAAGATATATTTAGTTGGGGATATGAATGTCCATGTATTTTTGCCTGTAGATGATGACCTCTTAGATGAAAACACATATCATTGATATCAAATGTTAGATTGTATAGATCTGGAAATTAATATTTAATGAGGAAAATTGTATAAACGACCACAAGTTATACAGTATATAAATTGCACAAAACTGGAGCAAACAGATTAATGTTTAGGAAACATTTTCCTAAACTTGTTTGACTGATTTGGAGAATGTAAAATATTACCAATTTCTTATGGAATATATAAACTTTCAAGTTTTATATGTGACTTTGGGGCAATATTAATTGCATATTCTTTCATGCTAAAACAGTGAGTCTCAACCTTCCTAATGCCACGATCCTTTAATACAGTTCCTCATGTTGTGGTGACCCCCAGCCATAAAATTATTTTATGTTTTCCGTATTTTTTCAAAAATATGTGTTTTCTGATGGTCTTAGGTGCCCCTGTGAAAGGGTTGTTTGACTCCCAAAGGGGTCGCGACCTACAGGTTGAGAACCGCTGTGCTAAAATATTTCCTGGCCCTGTAAAATTTTAACTTAAAAATCATTAAAATTTTACCAGACAGATTGCTATAATTCATCATTAACTGGAGGTCAATAGCAAAATCTTATGGAGACCTCATTTCCTTCTTCTTCAGTAAAATGTATTTAGTAGGCATTTGGCACATGATACTGTAGGAAATCTTTATTACATATTGTATCTTTTGCTTGCATTTACAGAATTTTATACAGTACTTTGGTTTTACAGCAATAATATCAAATAAAATGAGAGTTCCTATATATAAATGAATTTTCCGTCATATTCAAAAATTGTGCTATTTAAGTCAATGTGATTTATGTTGAACTAAAGTAGAAAGAAGGAAAATTGTGCGATATGCTGTATTTTCTTTTTTGCTTTCTTTTGACTGCATTCTTTTCCAATGAAGGTCAACACAGAGAAGGAAGATAAATCTATTATGGCTATTCCCATAGCAGTTATTGATTGTGACCTCTTGCTATATGGACGTGGACATAGGACACTGGATCGCTTCAAGCTGGAGGATGTTACTGATGAATATCTTGTATCTATGTATGGATTTCCACGTCAGTTCATTTATCATTTGGTGGATCTTCTAGGGGCCAATCTTTCTCGTCCGACTCAACGATCCAGGGCCATCAGCCCAGAAACACAGATTCTCGCTGCATTAGGTTTTTACACTTCTGGTTCATTTCAGACTCGCATGGGAGATGCCATTGGCATTAGCCAAGCATCTATGAGTCGCTGTGTTGCCAATGTTACTGATGCCTTGGTGGAAAGAGCCTCTCAGTTTATTCATTTCCCAGAGGATGAAGTGGCAATACAACTTACGAAAGATGATTTTTATGGGCTGGCAGGTATGCCAGGTGTACTAGGATTGGTTGATTGTAATCATGTAGCAATAAAGGCACCCAATGCTGAGGATTTATCGTATGTGAATCGGAAGGGCCTTCATTCTTTAAATTGTCTGATGGTGTGTAATGCCAGGGGAAGGCTGCTAAGTGCGGAAACACACTGGCCAGGAAGCCTGCAGGACTGCACTGTGCTTCAGCAGTCGGCTCTAAGAAACCAATTTGAAGCTGGTATGCAGAAAGATGGCTGGCTACTTGGTAGGTTCGTGCTGATTGCTAGTCCTCTAAATCTGCTTTGAATAAGATTCTAATTGATTTATTGACATGTAAAGTAACCCAAACGTAGTTGCATCATAAAATGCCTTTTATAAATATAAGTGTAGCTTAAGATGTATATTTTGTTCCCTTTGCTGGGATTTCAGATTCAAATATCGGTTGCTGAAAATAAAAGTAAAATCTTTTGCTATTTACTAGAAATCTCATTTTTTTTCTCTTGATTTTATAGGTGATAGTTCTTTCTTTCTTCGCACCTGGCTAATGACTCCTCTGCATATTCCTGAAACACCTGCAGAGTACAGATATAATTTGGCACATTCAGCAACTCATAATATTATTGAACGAACATTCAGAACACTCCAGGCTCGGTTCCGTTGTTTGGATGGATCAAAAGGGACATTACAATATTCTCCAGAAAAAGCAGGAAACATCATCCTTGCTTGCTGCGTTCTTCATAATATCTCTTTGGAGCATGGGATGGATATATGGTCTTCCTCATATTCAGAACAAGTGGAACATCCAGAGGAAGAATATGAGCATATGGAATCTCTTGACTCTGAAGCTGACAGAGTTCGCCAGGAATTATTGCTTACACATTTTGGTTAACCACATTTGAGAATATCATGTTGGTTTTAAGAAAAAAAGATAGAAGGAAATATAGTTTGAGGATTTTTTAAATAGAATTTGCCAAGAGGATAATATTATTTATCAGTATTTTGCAAAAATAACATTGAATGTGTCTATCTCTAAGTATTTTGATTCTATTGTACATGTTGCATCTATGAAATACATGGTTGTCTTCAGTGTCCATCTTTATTAAAAATAATTAAATATGTACAGTAACATGAAATCTAATAGGTTTATTTTCCTGATAAAATGCTTTATTTTAAAGTTTTGCAAAATGTGAAATTTTGTTTTATTTGAAATTAAATTCAAAATAATTAAGTTCAGATGGCTATTTGCAATTTATTGCTCACTATCGCGATTATATAATTTATTTAGTTGCATAATTTAAATTTCATTTTAGTTATCAATTACTTGTGTAAAATAACATTTGTGTTGAAGTGTGATAGAGTTCTAAAAAGATGTGTCACTTCAAAATTCGTATTCTTTTATATTAGCATCTTGGCATTACCCTCAAGAATGTAGGTCACAAGGATTATATCAAGAAATATTTCATAATTTGTTTTCCCCTCTATGTGACACCTATGAGCAAATCTGAATACACCTTAAACGACTATGATCATTGCCAAAAATCTGTGAGAACTTAGGTTGTTCCAAAAAAGGTAAATTCAGATCTAATCATCAAATAATAATTATACTGGTAGTAGTAATAGTAATAGTAATAATAATAATAATAATAATAATAATAATAATAATAATAATAATAATAATCCTACAAAACACAAATAATAATAAATAATCCTACGTAACACAAAAATATGTACCACGCTTTACATCCACGAAATGACATTGACAGGTTGTACTTGCCAAGAAAAATAGGTGGCAGGAGGATATTGCAAATCCATCAAATTGTAGGATTATTATTATTATTATTATTATTATTATTATTATTATTATTATTATT